TCCCCNCCCGACCCAGTCGTCCTGCGGCAAGAGCTGGACCCCACTGCACTTTCCCCCTTATTCATCCATTCCAGAGGACCCTCTCTCAGCTGCCAAGTTCCCATCTCCCCTCCTCCCCTCCTCCCCTCTCCCCCCTGCACTTTATTTATTAATGGATCCATTCAATTATTTACCTCACATCTTAGGGCGACAACAGGCCAGAGAGGAGTACACAGGGTGGAGATGATACAGTACACATACACAGACCACACACACACCAGTGGAGCTTGGTGATAGTTTATACTTCTACGTTTTAAAGACATTTTAACATTTGAGTAAATTGGTTAATTTCATCCTGGAATTATTTTTCTCAGAGATTAGTAAAAAAAAAGGTGCAATATGATATAAAACATGCTGGAACCTGGAACAAGTGAATATATTTCATTTTCATTTACAGATTAAACAACTTTTTTGCATTTATGTACTTTTACTTTACTTTAAATGCTAATTTATTGTATTAATAATACTTGTGTATGTTAATGTCAGTTACGGTAATTGAGAACTTTTATATTGCAATATTGCTGTCTTTAGTAAAATACTTCACAAGTGCCTGCAAGTGCCTTTCACATGTCCTGATGAAATATGTTGTTTCTACCTTTAAAAGTCACCATGGCTGGCGTCCTGTTTGCAGAAGAGGTTGACGGTTCAAACGTATCATTGACCGCTCGGTGTCTGCTCTTATCTCGTCCCTCTGGCCTTATCCCCGCAGTGGCCAGACATGGATCAATCCAACCCGGAATTGGGTTACATATCCCGGAAGCATAGATGTACACATGGGTCACTTTCATCGACTCACTGCGGCCATAGGTATCCATCATACAGACCATTGAATGGTTGTGACCATGAAGATACAAATTCATCACAAAGAAAGGCTGCGGTGGATGAGGTCTGTGGAAAGGAGCGGCTACTTCTCGTAGCGGCATAACGGTGAGGAAATTTAGTCTTTTCAGATATTATCCCGTCATGTTAATGCAATCATAGTATAAACATGAACATACAGTAATAAAATGTTGTATAGTAACTATCAACTATTCGACATACTTATGTTGGAAAGCAATATTTTCAGCCAGCTGCAATTTCCAAAAGTGTAGTTTACAAAACAAGTAACCTCACATTTTAAATTTAAATCCAGGTCAGTGTGAGTGAGTGTGTGTGATTGTGTGTTTGTGCGTGTGTGTGTGTGCGTGTTATCGAAACATGCAAGACGTTAGATTAATTTCAATTGTGTGCATCGACGTGTGTTTTCACAGGCTAAAGACACATTAAATAACAGAAACCGACGGGGGTGTAAAAGAGAGAAGATGAAGGGAAGGATTGAGACCAAGATGAGGGGAAGACAAATGAGAAGAGGAATGTGAGATTCCAGCACACGCACACTTGCACACTTGCACACACACACACACACACACACACACACACACACACACACACACACACACACACACACACACACACACACACACACACACACACACACACACACACACACACGGGATATGGTGAATACCTGGAAAACACAAGCACATTTTTTTCAAGGCCAAGAAGAGTCTGACAATACCCAACAGTGTAAATGAAAACACATAGAGACAAAGATTAATTATGACAACATAAATCTTTCATCCCCTATTATCAATGTTTGTTGTGGTTAAGGTGAACACACAACCACACACACCCACATACACACACGGAAAAGACGTTCTATAACTGGTTAGTGTGTGTCTCTTGGGAAAAACCTACTTTAATTCCCCAGGAAATCATTGTGATTTCGAGTAACAGGGAAGTCGCTTCTAATGAAAGTCTGTGGACCGGTGGTGTGGCGGCGGGCAAGACTGCTTGTGTGTGTGTGAGAGAATGTGTAGGTGTATCTGTGTGTTTGTGTGCACGTGCAATACAGCTAAATGGAATTTTATCTAAAAGTAATTAAATCAACATGATAGCACAGAAGGAGTTCAAACCTTGTAGGAGATGGTGGTAATTAAAATACAGTGCTGTGAAAATAGCAAATGTGGTAAAATTAGCAAAGATTACGTCACTCTCTTCTTACAAATTATGCAAGATGCAAATGAGTCCATGGTGTTTCATGATGACTGAATGTAACGCACACACACGCACACACACACACACACACTTTAGAGGCTTTGAAATAACCTGCAGCAGGGCTGAGTCTTACACTTGGAGAGCTTCTAAAAACCGTTGAGCTGACTTGAGCTGAAAAACGTTTTCAAGTCCAGGCGATGAACAGCGGCTGGTCAGGTTTGGGACCATTGTCTCTCGGCCCCTCAGTGCTACTGCTGCTGCAGCTGCTGATACGTGGAGGTAGAGACAGGCAGAGCTGGCTGAATGCAGATAGGATCTCTGTGGGGGGGCCTGGATGTGTGATCGGAGACTAAAATCATTACAGTACGCCTGGTCACTGTGTCCTTGGCTCTTCCGCTGAGGCTGATGCTGATGCTTTTCTCTACTTTCCCCATCTGCCTTTTTCTGCCTTACTCACGCTTTCCTCCTCCTTTTCCAGTTCTCCACTATACATTTCTCTGTGAAGAACGACATCAGTCACTCCCAACAGAAACATGCTGTTTTTTTCACAAAGCATCAGACAAATTCTGCATGCAAAAATCGGTCTGTCGTCCCTGCAACAGCCGTGGTGCAGCTTGATGTTAGATACACTATAGTTCATCCATTTACGTGAAATTATTTATTTTTATTATTATTCTCTTATATCAAGAGAATTAATTATTGTATTTCCATCAAAAGATTTACCGATGAGTCGATTTTGAGCTTGTCTAGTGAAATCGTGTTTGATTTCTCTGTGACACCTTGGTGATTGTTCTCAGGTTCTTTCCCGTTTGTTTCTGCGTCTGGGTCGTGTTGTCACGTTGTAACAGGTCCCACAGTAAGATAACTAATGCACACAGGAGAGTTACCCTCTGGTGTGTCTGACTCACTCAGTCACACAGCAGCTTTTGTGTAAAATCTGAGGAAGGTAACAAAAAGAAAAAAGAGGATAGCTTATACAGACAACTTCACACTTGTCTTTTGTCTTTGTTGTTTTGGGTCTTTATCCCAACTGTAAATACATAGGCCTCTTTTTCCTGGCTCACCTCATCTGCACTCATGCCCCCAGGCTTCAGTGGCTGTCCAAAGAGAGAGAGGGAGAGAATGTAAACTAGGCTCGCCTTCCTTGGGTCTCATTGGTTGATTCTGTGCCTAGCAGATTTGTCCTTGAGAATGTGCAGACACGGAGCAGATAATGTTCTGACACCAGAAACTCTAGACCGGGACCAGATCAACACTTACTGCTTTACTTCTACCCCTCTGCGTCAGATGTACCCGGATACGCACTTGGAACGTCAGTGTTTGTGGATATTTTTTTTCCATCCTGCGTCAATATCACGAAGGTGATTTGATTCTTAATGCTGCAAAACAAAGCAATCCGAATAAATAACTAATCCACGAACTTGATATTTTGCGCGCATATTTGCATGCAGCAATGATTAGAGGGAACATGGACTTCTAGGATATTACCCGTGTGTTGACACATGACAATCATAAATTCCATGAATGTTAACGATGTAAATATCACACCCGCAGGCGCGCACTGGGGATTATTACGAGGCTGATGTCTGGCTCATCGCATTATTAGGCGACAGGGTCAGACTTTCTTTTTTTTTTTTTAAATTTTTTTTACATCGCTTCGTTGTTTCCATCCAGAACCGAAGTGTCCCACGGTTCCTCAACACAAAACAACACAGACCAGCAAAGAGCTTCTGGAGCAGCTGAGGGTCACCTGCGTCCTGAGTTTCCTGGAGTGGATTTGTTTGAAATGGTTTTAAGTTTAAAATCAAAAATTTAAAAATCCGTTACTTGCAGCCCTGTTGCTCCGTGTTGTGCTGCACTCTGTGGGTGAGGTGCACCATAGCTGCCGCTGGAGGGCGACACAGAGCTGCTGCTGCTGCACTGTCATCAGAGAGGGGAGGTTTCCGGTTTCAGACACGTGTCAGAACAACGTATAATAAAAACAAACAAAAATAAAAGAGGTCAAACACAAAAGATGGATGACAGCTTCATTAAAAACATAGACTGTATATAAAAGATTAAAAACAGGTTATTTGCTCGTTTCAGTTCTTGCTTAGAGTCCTAGTTTGATCAAGGGACAGCTCATGGGAAATATTGTGGAATAATATTACTGACAATTATTATTCTTATTATTCTTTTAAAGTTTCAACTTTAAGTTTTATCATATGTAAGTTAACACAGGGTCAACGGTACGGCTTGGACAGGAAGAACAGATCAGCTCAGTAAACGTAATATATTATAGTATAAGAAAGAAAAGGAGNACAACCGGTGGGATTAAGCCTCTGAGTGTATTCAAAGCCATGCAAGCCCAAAACAAAATTAAAAAAAATATCACTAAATATAAGTGTGAGGTTTTCCATCATCTCTTCCCCCGATGTGTTGCAAGGTCAAAGATCTCCTTTTACCGTGCGCTCCTGTGACGGAAGGTTTCTGCAGAAGTCAGCATGCCAGCAGAGGCCAGCAGCGCGGACAGGAGTCTCCCTGCAGCGCCTCATAAACGACCAGACCCTGTGATCTAATCGCAGTAGGCCAGTAGGCTTCCGTCCAAAGTTTCCACGTCATCCTTTAAGTCTGAAAATAAAACCAACGCCAAGGATGGATGCAATGCAAACAGTTTAAACGTCTGCGCAAAATCAGGTCTGAGAAGAGAAAATATTTTCCCTGAAGCTCTGCGCAAAATCTGTTAAACCGAGAGAGGTTACTTCTTTTTTTTTTTTTTTGGCACAAAGTGAGTGCGTCCTGGCGCTGCTGTCTCTGCACTGTGTGGGATTATTAATTACTCTTCTCACTAACTAATGTTGTTAATGTGACTTTGTGTGCGGCTGACTCTGTCTTCACATCGCAGATATGGTGGGATATAAATAAAAAAGTCTGAGAGGTAATTATTGCCATTTCAATGACTTTAATAAGCAAAATAGGAAACAATTTCTTCCAAAAACAATCAAAATAAGACAAAACAGAAACCAGCCTGAATGGAACAGTTCAAATTTAAGTGTTTAACTATTATTTATATAAACAGGATTGAAAATTGATCCCCATCATCGCAAAGTACATGGAATCGGCGAAAACATAACAACAACCCGCTGCTGCAGTTTCAGTTTGATTTCAACACAGTTGAATCAGTAACAAACCAAAGATTGTTAAATGCGTGACTTTTCAACAATAGTTTCAAATGCAAGCACCATGCTTATGATATGATCTGACAGTTTTTTGTTAATTTAAATCATTAAAATAAAAACTTTAACTATGCATCTGGCCAGCAGAACCAGAATCATCAAATAATAATAAAACCGACAACAACAAAAAAACAAACACATCATATGTAACGTACATATTGTTTTCATTTTGAGAATTTTGCACAACCTGTGTCCCCTTTTTTACTGACCTGCAGAAAAAAAATCAGGAAAACATAGAGCATTAATAGTCAAACTTTGTATTCAAACGCTCGCGTTATCTAAATATTAACTCTACATAAAACCCCTGACATGTACGTGTTTTTACTAAATATCGTTAAAAATATAAATCCTTGATATTAGGCCCAGTGGAAATGTGCTACAGGTGGCCGCCAATTACACAGAGCGGGTATAAGGTCTGGTTTGATGTGGTTTGTTCAAATGTTCATGGAAAGGCAGACAAGACTTTTCTGAATTAGTGGCACAAAAGCCACATTGAATCAAAACGACACACAGGACTAACCCACGTTGTGAGTGTGGTGCGCAATGGCCTCTTCTGTGCAATCTGTGTGTGATAAACTCATGGCCACACGTTCGTCTCCTCAGCCTCTCACGTGTGTCCAGATGTTTCTCTTAAAAACTCTGCACTCAGGCCCGTCCTGAATAATACGACAATATCATATCATAGTATGTCTTCCTGGAGGGAGGTCTGCACAAAAGTCAAAATGAAAACTTGCAAATCATTATTCCAAAAAAAAGTGCACTTGACACACATGTTGTATTTAAATGAAAAAGAAAAAAAAATGCACTCCTCTCTCAATCAATACCCCCAAATCATAAAAAAACATAAAAAATAAATGAAATCAAAAAACACAACACAAAGAAAGAAAGAAGTTCAAACCAGCCTCCTCGATCTTGTTGTGCAGTTTTGCGGTTGCATAATATTTACAAGCTCAAAGAAAAAAAAAAAAAAAAAAAAAAAGAACCCCACACCATATGACACTGCACCGGCAGTCCTGCTGTTCTGTCCCCGCTGCAAATCTCTAACCCCCCCGAACAACCATGGAGAAGCGCAGATCAACAACATGCTCTTAATATACACGAGAAGATGAAGGTACAAAATAGAAATTATTACCGTACATGTCCAGCATGCAGGATTAATATTAATGCAGGTTTTTTTTGTTTCAATATATATTCGAATATAACCAAGCAGGCAATAAATCAATGAGATGTTGCATAAAAATGTCCCCCCCCCTGTGACGGGTCAGCAGACAGAAGTTTTGCATAAAGTGGAGTCTTGCTTTTTGGAGATTTTCTCAGATTTTACGGGCCCACTTGTCGAATGTGAGTTGCAGCCTGCGAGGCCATGGCCCTGCAGCTACTTGTTGTTTCATAACAGAATTACAAGACAACGACACCTCGACGCCATCCCACACTACTTACAGATTATTTAAAAGCTGTAGCCTCAAAAGAAGGAGAGAGAGAGGACAAAAAAGAGTTCATCAGTCGATCCTCTTCTTTGAGGAGGAACACAAACAAAAGTCTCTTCACTACAAGCAACTAATCTACAAAGATACTGCGACTGATCTCTACGTTGCTCTTTGTATCTCAGTTGACACGTGGATGGAGAGATGGTTATATATGAGGATACTATTTGATGGATTACTCTTCTAATATAAGTGTTATTATCATAAACAGTATGGGAGGAGTGGATTATTATCGTTTGTTCATCAGTCAAAAAAAGGAGAAGGTGTTGGTGGAGAGGGGGGGGAAAGTTTTGTTGTGAGGAAAAAGGCTTTGACAACTCACATGAAGAACTCTGGGGATGAGGGGTTGTCACTGGTCGAGCCAGCCTCGCGGAACCCGTTACTGGCCCCTGAGCCCGCCAGTTTCTCACACTTGAGTTTGTAGGCGTCCCTCTCTCGGGCCAGGCGGCCGATCTCCGCCTTCAGCTGCTCCACCTGGTTCATCAGCTGCGTCTTCTCGTTCTCGAGCACGTGCTTCTGCTGCACGCGCTTGAACCGGCAGGACTGCGCGTAGCCCCGGTTCTTCAGGGTCCGCCTCTTCTGCTTGAGGCGGATGACCTCGTCCTTGGTGAAGCCCCGTAGGTGTCTGTTGAGCTCCCTCACCGACATGGACACCAGCTGGTCGTCGGAGAAGCGGTCCTCCACGTTGAGTCCGCCCCCGCTTCCGTGGTGTGAGGCCGACTGGCCCAGGTGGCCGTGCGAATGGTGGTGGTGGTGGTGGCGGTGGTGATGGAGCGGCTGGTGGTCGTCCGGGGACAACGGGGACGGGCTGTCGGGGTCCTGGCTGTGGAGGTGGTGATGCTGGCTGTGTGGGTGGCTGTGTCCGCCCGGGTGCCCGGACAGCTCCTCGGTGTGGTGCGGGATGCCCCCCGCATACGGGTGATGGTGCTGCTGGTTGTGGCCGTGGTGGCTGTGGTGGTGATGCGGGCCCCTGTAGCCCTCGAAGGCGCCTTGCTGCTGCAGCTGCTGCTGGACGTGCGGAGGCGGAGGGTGGCCGTGAGCTGTGGCTCCAATCAGGGCCTCCACTGCGTCCTCCGGGGTCAGGCTTAGCGTCTGCGGGTCTATCTGCTGATGGTACCCGCTGTTCGGCATCCAGTACAGCTCCTCTAGGTGGTTTTTCTGCTCTGTGGGGCTGAAGCTGGGTGAAGAGGGCACCGAGCTGCAGGGTGTACTGATGGGGGTGGAGGACACTGAGCCCTGGGGTTGGAGGCGGTTGCACTGGCGCACCCCGTTGCGCTCCAGTCCGGCCAGGCCTTCCTTCTTCACGTCAAACTTCATCAGGTCAAAATCATTGACATATTCCAGAGCCAGAGGGCTGCTGGGTAGCTCCGGACCCATGCTCAGCTCTGTACTCATGTTGCTGTCGCGACTCTTTTGCAGATATGCAACGGTATTTGCAAGCGTCGCAAAAACGGATTTATTAATCAGCGTCTCTTCTCTCCTCTCTTGTTTCATGCAATAGTTCTTTTGGCTCCTCCACCGCTGTCGCATGAAACACCGTGTGAGTGGTGGAAAAAGGAAAAAAAAGTAGTGGAGGAAAAACTTTCAGACTAATGCTCTGCACACGATTTGCGTCATGTAGCCTACTTCTGCCGGGATAATCTGGCAGGGAGACCAGGCAGGAGGTAGAAAGCAATGCGTCTCAGTGCAAAAATAAAAACCTCAGTCCCTTCAGTAGAGTTGTACTCACACAGCAAAAAAAGAAATCAGCATAAATAATAATAATACAAGAAATACCACATTTGGTCGCAGAGACGGGCACCAGTCCTCGTTGCAACTTCTTGGTAGTAAGTCCCTTTTTTCTCCAGGAAAAGAATAGGAGCAAATAAGCAGGGTAAATATAGGGCGTCTGAATTTCGCTGAGAAGCAGCTTTTCCAGCTCTGCACCGCAGAGGTTTCAAGGCTCGCTTCTCTCGCTCTCTCCTGCTCTCTGGTATCCAGCAGACTGCGCTCGGAGCGAGCCAGCGCTTTATCCTTATAGCGCGCCGTGACGTCGAGGCGAAAGGCTGGATCCGTGGCTCTCGGCTCTCCAATGGGAGCGGGACTCTGCGCACAAACGGAGGAAGAGGAGGAGGCGGAGAGCCGCGGAGAGGAGGGCGCACCGCGCAGTCTTGACAGCTTCAGACAGTCAGCTGACCGACTTCCCTAAAAGCAGGAGGTGGGAGGAAAGTGGAGGAGAGGGAGAGAGAAATGCCTTCACTTTACGGACACCGTACCCGCGGCTCTTTACGCGGCACCTCCAGATCTGCGAGAGAGAGATACCAGAGGGTTTCAGGCTTAGTGTTGTAAGATCAGTGGAAATTATCTATCGCAGTTTTATGCCACAACTTAAAAGTTAACCCCCCCAAAAGTGATATTTTATAAGACACCAGTTTATAAAAAAGAGCAATGTGGTTTATGGTTAACAAATGTTCGACTACTCTCCAAAAGCACTTTGTTTCGTTTGCCAGGAAATGTGGCAAATGTGTCTAACAACAAGAAACAGACATAAACCTCCTGATCCTCCCTCTGATTTAACATTAGTGATCAACAAAGTGCTTCAAACAACCAGATTTCGTCCGGACTCTTACTAATGATTTGAACAGTTCATCTCTAAACTTCTTTGCCTCATCAAATGTTTCCACACTTTATATTTGTTGCAGTGTCCCCACATGTCTACACACAAATCACAAGATAACTAATCACCGGCTGGATTGAACCAGTTGAAAAGGGTCGACAGTGAAGTGATACCACAGATTATCATTGTTGATGACCAAAATGGAATCTTGACCTTTCTTGCAAACAAGGACGCACAACTTTGTGTTCTCTGCTGCGGACACAAACACACTTATCTTCCAGTCAGACTCCGACTTTCAGACAACATCATACCCACGTAATCAACAATCATGATAAAACCATATCACTCCTGACATTGATTATATATTTGTGATCCTCTGTGGTGAGTATATCGTGACCTTGCTGCACCGAACTTGATCCAATGTGGACCCCAGCGCTCCTGGCTGTGTTTGTGTGACCTTATGTTAGAGCCATTATAGGTTAAGTGTGATTCCTTCTGGTGAGAGTAAAGTGGACTCCGCTCGGAGCCCGTTATTACTCCCAGATTCCCACACCAAGCTCCTCTCTTGGCTCGGACACTTTGTTTTACACCGCGCAGCATCACGACAGGGTGGACTCTGCAGAAAACAGGCTCAAGGACGCCCCTGTGTGGAGAACACGCGAACTGAGACGCTGCACTTAAAACCAGGATCTCCTTGTGTTCGCTGCTTATTTATCTTTACGCGTATGGCTCGTTGGAAAGGTCACATCCTGCGAATATGACCGACAGCTATTAATCCCTGTCATTTGAGTGTCGTGGACACACACTGCCACGTGTTTAATCACCTGCCCGGACTCTGACTAACAGGTCGTTTTGGCCAATGAGGATCAGATCCTTCAGTGTGTGTGTGTGTGTGTGTGTGTGTGTGTGTGTGTGTGTGTGTGTGTGTATGTGTGTGTCATTGATTTGATCTGTTTTTTAATTGTCCGAGGAGACAACAACAGAGGAGCGGTGTGAGCAAATGTCTCGCTTCCCTGCAAAAAAAAAAAAAAAAAGAGGGAACTGCTTGTAAATGAGTCAATTGGAGGGATCGATTGGATTATCATTTCGTTTCCACCTCATATCCACGCTTGAGCACAGCCGCGACCGGAGCCTATTGATCAGGCTGGATGTAAGAGGAGGCTGCCAAAGATGAGAGCCGATAATGAAGGGCTTATTTGTTTAGTTTAAATTCTTAATCAGTCCGAGTCGTGCAGCAGTGTATCAATAGATGAACTCTGGATCCAGCTCGTGTCATAAATCATTAGCCTGCACACGCCAAAGCCAAATCCTGATATCCTGTAATATTTACATTTGCAAGGATAATTTTAAAGCATATTTGTGCACAAGTTCAAAAGTAAATATAACATCGTGAAATCAAACTGTCGAAAAACATTTTACAAAGGATAATAATAGTGTTGTGAAGCATCCAGAGGTAACTGTCAACCAGATACCTTTACAGAAACAGCAGAATGATATATGACTTCCAAGCATTTTTATTATTAGTAATATTGTTCATATTAATATAAGACTATAATAATAATTTTACGCACCCACATTATTTTTGAGCCAAACCTACAATTGGCTATTTTGATGATGAAAATGCATTTTGGACCGTTTTTATTCCAATTCGTTTTTTTTCAAGCTTTAAGTCTATTTCGTTTTTTACTCACTTATTTTTCTTTTCCAGCGTCATTGTGTCTGGATGTTATCTCCCTAAACTCACACACTCTAATGTCAATTATTGTAATAATTTTTTGTAGCCCCCACCCTAAAAATTGTAGGAAATGTTGAAGTTATACATTCGTCCTTTTTTAATTTTCCTGAACCTGCAGGCGAGCTTCTCACTTCTCATGCTCCAACTTCAGAAAAGCGCCCCGGGCGAGTCGTGCCGTGCCGTGCCGCGTCGTGCCGAGACGAGCTGCTCTAAAACCTCTTCCCAGCGAAGCCGACCCGGCGGCAGCCCCATTAGGTCGTAATGCTCTCTAGTATAGCCCGAGTCCACCGTCTAATAGATCCAGGCAGGCCTGCCGGCGGCTCTCCCCCTTCGGTAATAACGGGCTGTAATGGAGAGACGAGATGTAAAAAAGCGTCCATGTCAGCAGCATATCGGTGGTTAATGATCTATTAAGTGATCCGTGTGCTTATGGACAGCGAAAAAAAGTGTTGATGCTTGCTTATTCGCCCCCTAATGAGAGTCCCATCCTACGGATTTTAGGAATGAATAACAGAAATAAAATCACCTTTAAAATGTTACATTTAACAGTTGACGCATGAGGCTGCGGAGGCTGCGGAGCTTCCCCACAGCTCACATCTCACACCTGCATCAGGCCCGCTGGTTTCACACTGGAGGCCCACGGTGGGTCCACGGGAAGAGGCGCGACTCGCCTCACAAATGGGCAATGGATTTCTACTCTGCTCCTGGACTTACCCATGCGTGCGCACCGACTGCCCTGAGGCCGGGGTCGCTCTGCCAAGACCCCTCGGATCTGTGCGTGCACCCTGACTCCGTCTGTAGGATGCAGTGGATGTAAGGAATACTTTTCTTTTTCTTTCAGAGTCAGAATCAGACGTTTTGTCTCACTCCGGGGGTAAACTATGTGCTTTTATTCAGTGGTCTTTTGGCGTGCGTAATGATAATGCCTTATGGGCTCCCTCCTCGACCGTTCCTGGAAACGCTGCAGAGTAAAAACGGGAGGTACAGCCGAGGTGGAAGGCCCATGAGAGGGAGAGGGAGTGAGGGATGGAGAAGGGGAGACGGTGCTGCTTTTTAAAAGTCTTTGACGCAGGAGGGAAAAGAGAGACGCGCAGGGCTCGTGTAACCCAGACCTCATCCTTCGAAAAAGTTTGAAACGTGACCGCTTCCATTACGCAGTAAATACCAGTTTAAACGTATTATAACTAACTTTTCCCTCGGAGAAGTAATAAGGATAAACGTCAAATATGTCACTACAACATAGATCTGCCATTTGGTTTATGATTTAACTTAATGGAACAAAAGTGACAAAGAATTATTCGGTTAATTGACCATTATTCACATTTGATCTTGTCATTAATTCATTGATTATCGGTTAGTTATGTAACAAAGTGCATTTTTGTCACTTTTACAGATTTCAACACAGAATGACTGTTTCCAGAATCTGACCTTCACTGACTTAGAATAATATAAATTCTACATGTTTGTGAGTTAAATCCCCCCCCCCCCCTCTAACATGTTCCGTTTACAACAGTGCAGCATCTCGGGCATCCTTGTTTACTCCAGACTGATCGATTGTCTCTTGTGAAAACATGTATTATTAAGACTCGTCGCCGGTGTAAACAGGCAGAGGCCAGTCTCCGCACGAAGCAACATCCTTATCGCGGGTAATTGACTGAGGAGTCTTTCGGGAGAACAGCAAGAGGTGAGATAAGTGCAAATTCTTACAATCTCATTAATATGAAAACGCATCGATTTAACAGTGAAAACCAAATGTTTATGTACCTCCTCCCCTAAAAAATTCCACTCTGCATGTTCTGTTCATCATGCACAGGCCTGCTGCACACAGTCATAACTCTCTGCCGGTGTTATCACAGCAGTCACACTCACCATTTACCCGCTGAGGAGGTGTAGTTGTGTGTGCAGGGGGAAATTAGGGCTTATTTCTTGTGACAGGGCGCCTCTGGTGGCGCATTTACTCATTGCTAATGGTTTGATGTGTATCATCAGTGACATGCAGTGGTTATTTATTTATTTCCTCTGCCTCATGCAGACAGCTCCAACTTCACCACTGAAGTCGTTCACTCTCTTTTTTAAATGACAGCGCGGCAGGCGGAAGATATTGAAATGTGATAGTGAGGCCACGGCATAATTGTAGGCCCTCTCCGAGATTAGATGTCTCTGATTGACGTGTTGTAAATATAACAACAAATAAATGTCAGTATGCACTGTACTGGCTTAATCCCAGAAGAAAAAGAGCAGTAAATCTACCGTTTGCTGTGGTCATTTCATTAATGTAAATTGCGATGCTATGTACAATTGTTTGGCTCCGTTCCAGTTGGCTCTTTGCTGAGGCTTATGCATAACACTATTTTTTTTTCAATCGTAAACCAGGACTGTGTGACCACAGAGTGTAGGCGACGCCACAAGAACCAAATATCAGAGAGCAGGCATAACATAATTAAAGCCTGATATTCTCTGGTCATAACCACAGTTTACATCTGTATTATAAATAACTGGCTACTGTAATTCTACATACAAGTTACTGGATTCTTTGTGGAATTATATCTATGAGTGGCACCTTTTTCTTATATAATTAACTCATGTTTTCTATTAAACCTTTTCTTTGCTTTAGCTCAGCTTCACTTTGGCATTAACATGTCAGAGTCGAGGATCGTCCTCTGCAGTCCATGGTCTTCTCTAATCGCTCGCACATGGAGCTGTCAGTACATATCTCTGGCTTATATTAAATTTCCACTTCATATTATCTTCTGGAAAATGTACGTCATCTGCAGTATAGGGTATATACAGCACCAGTGTGTTATTATGCTAAGAGCAAAGAAAGGCTTTTAATAATCCCCAAAGGCTCTGTGTAATATCTGAGGAGACGTTTTGTTTTCCTGTCAAGTGTGTAAAGTGTAAATGTTTAAGATCCGTAGTTAGTTTGTTCTCAGTGTTCACTTAGGAAGACGAGCTGTGAGCAGACCCCAGGTCAGTTTATTGCAGAGTGAGAGTGTGTGGGCATGACTGAGCCCCCCCCCCCTCTCCTTTCCTCTCTCTTCTCCTCTCCCTGCTCATCATAGTCTCTGGGCTCCTCATTCACAGAGTACATCTGAATATGATGCTTTTATTAAACATATTTATTCCCCACTCCTCCACATCCCCTCTTCCCCCTCTTCCCCCCTCTCCTCCACCTCTGTCCATCCTCCCTTGCTGAGTGACCTCCTTGCCTCTCGGCTCTCTCACCCCTCTCCTCTAGCCCTGGCCCTGGCCCTGCCCACCCTGGGTCATTTATCATGGACCAGGAGGGGAGCCCCCGGGCCTGCAGGCCCCTGTCAGCCCCTGCAATCGCCTCTTTGTGGCTCCCAGCAAACAAGTGTCGGATCAGCAAAAGTCTATTAAAGCCTGGTGGGCCTTTCTCAGCCTATTGGGTTCGGGTCACTGAGCTGCTCTCCTTGCTGCTCCTAGAGCTCTTTGTGTCGCCGCCGTTCGCTGACACAGATCCCCACAAGATTAATGATTTTTAGCAGCCATTTGGGTCTCATTCGCAGGGTCTTTCTCTCTTTCTATCTGTTTGCCCTTTTTCTTATTTTCTCCACTCATTCTGTTCTCTTTCTTTCCTTTAACCTATTTCTTCTACCACTCTCTGTACCCTCTGATTTCTCGCTTTTACTCCTCTCCACCTCCCATTCACTGCAAATCCAATCAATGTTGACTGTTTGTGTAAGGTCATTATCCATACATGTGTGATTGCCATTAGTTCCTTCAATATAACTATTTTCTCTCTTTTACAGATTTTATGATGCAAAGGATTTAAATTGCAGTTGGAAAACATGTTTTCAGTTGTTTGAGTGATGGACTCCTGTCTGATAAATCAAACTCAAGCTTCCACATTAGGGTTCTGAATTTCCCGCAGTCTGCCTCAAGAGGCCCAGAGCAATTTGAAATCTTCGAGCCACTTCCACGACTTCCATGTTACCATGTTCTCAGTGTTGTTTCCAGTAATTACTGCAGGTTAAGTGCACGTCCCGGAGCCCGGTGGAGGCAGCTATATCCCTCACATGGGACATGACTCAGCACAGTTCAGGTCATCCGGCCATTTCCCTGACCACTGGACCACACCCCAACCTACTCTAAACCCACAGGACAAGCTGTATTTATGAAGGACTCCTGTTCACTTACATCACCTAATATAATGGCTGTTTTATTTACTTGCTGGTTTTTTTTCATTGGTTTTGCAGAAACAAGCTTATAAATACACTACACAAAATGCCTTTTTTTTGTCATTATTCTAAAATCTTTGCATTTTTTTCTTATTCTGTAAGAACACATCCTTTTTCCCTTCTTACATATTTTGTGCTTGGAATCCTTTTATTAAATTACATGCATGTTCACATTTTCAAGTTGGTCTTACTAAATTCACAAAATACAGACTAAGCCCTTCAGCAGCAGTTCCATCATGTCTGTGGTGACTTCCCTGCACTCGCACTGGTCATGGTTGCTGTTTAGTTTTCCAGAGCTGAAGAGCTGCAGTTGTAGTGACAGAGAGTATATGCTGCAGCGACATGAAAAATGTCTGATGCTCCAGATAAAAAAAGAAACTTGTCATTAAGAGGAAGTATTACAGTGTAAAAAAGAAAGTTCTTGATGAAGAGGACACACTTTTACTGTGGTTGTGGCTTTTTTTATATTGGAGGCTGTTGAAAGAAGAGAAGAGCCTGAGGGCAGATATGGATTACTGCTCTGGTTGGGATGTAAAGTTTACATTGTGATACAAATAGAGTCAAATACTGCACACTGCAGGTTTAATACCTACGTTTAGCTTTGGATAAATATATTTTTATCAAAAAAGAGGTGTGTGGATTTTGTCCCCCATCACTTACATTGGAGGCACCTTCAGAGGTGATGTTCTCACACATAACAGCCATAAAGGTAAGAGGAATGACTTCACCGACCAATAACACTCTCACTCTATGTGGCTGCATGAGTAATGAAAAGAGATATTTGTATCATGCTGTTTAAGCTCTTCATATAATAAAAATCAAGACGTTTAGAATTGGCCTGGACCATAAACCTGTCAATCATAGGTTGATGTATCCTATTTAAAGTTGATTTGTCTGACTGAAAAAAAGCTGCCATTTTAAATATCCCACAGTTACAGAGCAACATTAATATTGATTTGGTCATTCCTTTGTTTTTGGTGTGTACTATGTTCAACAGCTGTAGTCTCTAATGTGTGTGTGTCCACTGTTTGGTGCTGAGCAGGTAGTGTCTTCACCTGGCTGCAGCCTCAAATGACGTGTTCAGAGCCACAGAGGGGAAACTGATATAGTGAAGTTTTGCGGCAAACTCATAAATCAGAGCGGAGCATCAGATTCAGGTAATAATTCCACATACGTTTGTCACCACAAGCACTCTTCACATTGTTATTGTGAAAAATTTAATTATACCTTTTAAATACATCAACATTTAATTGGTGTATATATATGTAAATATCACAGCTAACGCCTTTATTAAAATCACTGTTACTCACACACAGGGTCTGTTTCATTTTTGTAATATTCCTATGCGTGTGTTTGTGTGTGAGAGAGAGAGAATATAATATAATATACCTCCTCTGTGTTAGTGAAGCTGTCACTGAAGCTGCTGGTGGGTCAGCGTCTGCTCTCACCTAAAACTCTCCCTGTGTGTTTACAGCATATCTGTTTTAGGACTGAATGGATGAACCCAGTCTACCGCCGTGTCCATCCACCTGCCCTGTTTCCTGTCTGATTAATCTTCTGCGTGTGTGTGTGTGTGTGTTTGTTTGTATGTATGTGTATGTGTGTGCGTGTAAATGGTTATAGATGGGGCGACACCACCTCACTGGCAGTCTGAATCATTACTCACACAGATAGGGAGAGACCTAGGGCCGAGAAACCCCTAACATCCTCCTCCTTCCTGCACACAGACACACACATACGCATCCCCAGGTTATTCATTTCTAAACAGAGTGCCTGGCATTTCACTACAACCACCCCCCTTTTATTAAGAGTCTTGTGGAGAGGGGGAGTCAGGGATGGGGAGTCGATTGGGCCTTCTACTCTTTGTTTGCATCCTTCCTCTTCGCCTGTTCTCTCGTCATTTCTCTTAATCTTTCATTTCCATCTCTTTCTCCCTCTCTTTCACTCTCTCTCCCTTTCTCTCTTTCTTTATAGGGAAACTGTCCACCCTCTGACAGCTACTTGTTTTGCGAGGCCAAAGGGAAGGATGGAAAAAAAATGTCTCTGCTTGCTCACAGTACATGTCTGCACCTGTGTCTCTTTAGTCTCTTAACATTGAGTATCAGCAGCCACTTAAGTCTCAAGTTGCAGTAGAGGTCGACATCACTGATGAACAGCATGCACATCTACTGATGGAGATGCCATTTATAAGCATAATTAATTATCAAAGCAGGCAGGTACATCTTACTGCCACATCAAAATCAAGGCTGCTGTTCTCATCTTGTTCATTAAGATCAGTTCAGAGAAGGAAAACCATTCAGAGAAAGAAGCTGATTTTATAAATGTACTATTTCGTAATAGATTTTAAGTTGGCGGCACAGTTTTCTTGGCACATTTATAATAATCATTTGGTGTTCAGAGAAAATCGTACTCGCTTGAACCCTTATTTGGTCCCTTATTTGGTTTCTTTCCAGGCTGATGACGAGTCCTTGTTGTGTGGAATATATGAGAGCAATTACAGCCCCATCATGAAGACACTGTGGACCTAAAGCGAGTGGTAAACTGGCAATATTGTTTAATATCCTCATTGGAAAATCATAGAGTGCACCGCAGAGATAAAGAATGTCTCTATATTTGTACGTAAGTGTATCGTGTGTGTTCATACATTTGATTTCATATTAGGTGTGTTTGTGGTCCTCTGTGCTTGAAGCACGTCTGCTGTTTATAGCACATATGCATGAGTATATGTGTCTGTAGCGGTATGTATGCGTGTGCTGGAGGCGGGTGTAGGTACAGGAACAGAGCTTGTAAATAAATCTGTTTGGGGATTGGGGGTGTGGGGATGAAATATGGTCCCAGGGATGTGGAGCAATGTGAAAAACTCGGCAACGCCAGGGAATAACAAATCTCCTGATGTCGCCTCGCTGCAAAATAAATACACTCCCCTGTACAAGTCATCCATCTGGACTATGACTCGCAAGAAAGACGCCCCCAATACATCCCCAACGCACACTCACACACACACACACACACACACACACACACACACACACACACACACACGTCTAAACACCCAACACCCCTCCCACGCAGCAGCCATATTTATTTACCAATTTATTTATTTATTTGTTTGTTTGTTGAATTAAATGGAAACTGCTGCTGGTGGGGGTGGGGGGGTTGGAATTTATTGTTTTTTTATTTTGTGAATGAAACACGATCCACTCCCCCCTTTTTCTTTAAAACGCTGTCTGTGTCTTAATGGGTGGTGTGGGCTGGTGGTGATGAAGGGTGGGGTGCAGGGTTTGTGGATCGGACATTTTAACTAATGATCGATCACAGGGGATTAAATAATTAAATTTCAGCCGTGACAATTTAAAAGTCTCCACACACAAAGTCGACTGAATGTGGAAAAGGGGGGAAAGATGAAAGATTCCGCCTGCAGCAAGACGGATTCAGCATTTAATACATTACAGGGAGTGTGTGTGTGTGTGTGTGTGTGTGTGTGTGTGTGTGTGTGTGTGTGTGTNGACGGATTCAGCATTTAATACATTACAGGGAGTGTGTGTGTGTGTGTGTGTGTGTGTGTGTGTGTGTGTGTGTGTGTGTGTGTGTGTGTTAGTGTAGGGATAAACAGTTTTTAGCTTATGTATTGTCACACACACGGACACATAGTAAGCACGAAGGTCTGCCAGATTCGTCTTCTCTCTCCTCATCGAGGCCACTTCTTTGGGACGCTCCATTACTACAACCACTGCAGCACTAAAGGCTCATTGTGTATCTGTGTTGACAAAAAATAATGAATAACAACACAACCACAACATTAAGGCATTCACCTCTACAATAAGGGATGAGCTGTTTGTCATTTTCTGGTGTTCTGTAGAATTCAGTTTTCTTTTTCCAATTAAGGTCTATTCTCTTGGCTTAATTAGGTCATTGTGTGTGTGTGTGTGTGTGTTGGGGTCATTCTGTCCCTTCTAGGGATAAATATTAGCCCTTGTTGTTTGCAAATAGGTGATGTATGGCGGCCATATCTCTTGGTGATGAATGTTTTTTTTTAGAAATTTCCTCTCCTTTATCAATTGACTAACAAACCCATGTATCACTGCCACTCTCCTCCACTCCCCACATAAATTAAATAAGCAGCTCTTTCTACTTCTCACTTTCTCTCTCTCTATCCCTAATCTTTACCTCTGTGTTCCCCAATTCCCTTTTCATTACTCCTTTAAGCTGTATTCATTTCCTTACACTTTTGTTCGCTTTACATCGGTTACCTCGTTTCACACACATCAAACCTACAGCAGTCAGCGATGATTTTGTGGGAGGAACAATAACACAGTGGTTGCATACATCTCAATCCCAGTTTTCCGTGTAATGCGATAGAGACAATAAAGGTGCTTCTCACTGATTACCACTGTGCCTCCAGCATATTATTTGATGTTCTCATCATTGGGTGGCGTTTGACGTACTTACAGACAGATCACGATAAGAACAACTATGTTGACTTGTTCCTGTTTATCACTGTGATGCTCTCTAAAATCTGCTGTCTCTCGAAAGGGCGGCGGGTAAAGAGCTACAGGCTGGAGCTGGGCGGGCTCCGCTCTCGTCACAACACGATGACGGGAGGCTCGATTATGCCAGAGTGCCATATTGTAAACTACTCATCATTAGCTGGCCCATCCTGGCTAACGACCACGCCGGAGATAAACAGGCGATGTGGAGAGCCATCTTAATCAGGGGAGCTGTTTAACAGTGGGGCTTCGACATTAGGCACAGCTGCATCACACCAGGATATGGGAGATGTTGAGCTGTAAAGCTGCAGTGTGGAGCCGGCTCAGATCCCAGCCTCGAGCTTTGCAGGGGTTTCAGCGTCGTTCTCATCGCCCCGTTAAAGCACCAAATGATCAGGAATAGAAAGATAAGTGCCTAAAACATGCAGCCAAATGAAATTACTACCCACCACTGAAGGTCTGAGTCACAGCCTCCCAGGGACGTTCCCAAACTTGATGATGGGGGTTGAGACGAGTTGACTCTGTAGTTGATGTGACTGCC